TTTACAAAGAGAATGAAATGTGCTTTATTCTTAATAATTTTTTTGTCTTGATTTTCACTCAGGAAGGCACTGACAATATCCCAGTAATTAATTTTTATAGTGGGGTTGAAGATGATGAATTATGCAATATCATAGTCACTAGCAAAATGGTTATCAAACAGATAGACCGAATGAAGTAAAACAAATCACCAGATCCTTATGAACTTTTTTCAAGGGTTCTTAACCCTTTAGACAAGGATGTGTGATGTCACCGTGGTTGTTTAATATATTTATAGATGGGGTTGTAAGAGAAGTAAATGCGAGGGTCTTGGCAAGAGGCGTGGAGTTAAAAGATAAAGAATCACACACAAAGTGGGAGTTGTCACAGCTGCTCTTTGCTGATGACACTGTGCTCTTGGGAGATTCTGAAGAGAAGTTGCAGAGATTGGTGGATGAATTTGGTAGGGTGTGCAAAAGAAGAAAATTAAAGGTAAATACAAAAAAGAGTAAGGTTATGAGATAACAAAAAGTTTGGGTTGAAGATTGAATAAAAATTGGAGGGAGAGAGAATGGAGGAGGTGAACGATTCAAATTTGGGAGTGGCGGTCGCGGATGGGCTATAAAAGATGGGGTGAATTAAAATTTGATGGGAAAAAGAGTGAGGGGCACTTAGGAGTTGTGGAGACAAAGAACTTTGCCTTGGGGGCAAAGAGGGGAATTTTGAGAGTATTTTTTACCAAACGCTCTTATATGGGTGTGAAGGTGGGTGATGAAGTTGCAGCGGGGAGAAGGTGGGGCAGGGGAGATGCCCCGTTGGGGGCAATGGTGGTGGGGAAATAAATGCAAGAACGTAGTTTGGAAGTTGGGAGGGGTGGGGGATTACAAAACTTTTTTCCCAGAGGGCTGGGGAAAGGGGTTGTTGAGGTGGTCGGAATGAGAGAGAATGGAGCGAAACAAATGACTTCAAGATGATCACCTGTAGTGGAAGGAAGGCGGGTAGGGGGGGCCTAGGAAGGGGTTTTGGGGGAGGGGGAAAAGGGGTTTTGGTTTGCGGGGGGTTTGGACTTCCGCGGCAGCGTGAGCGTGTTTGATGGGAGTGAATGGAGAAAAAATGGTTTTTAATACTTGACGTGCTGTTGGGTGTGAGAAAAGTAACTTTTTAAAAGGGGATTCGGGGAAACCCCGGCGGGCCCGGGACTTAGCCCTGGGAGGGAATACAGTGCCTCACCTGAAGGAGGGGTGTTATGTTGCTTTAAAAAAACGTAGTGTAAAGCACCCTTCTGGCAAGCAGTGATGGAGTGAATAGGGGTTAAAGTTTTCTTTTTCGGGCCACCCTGCCTTGGTGGGAATCGGCCCGGTTGAAAATAAAAAAAATAAATTAACCCTTTCGAGGTTTCGGTCGTCTAGTATGGCTTTTGCAAACCCGGGTTTTTGCGTATAGTATGCCTAAAATTTTAGCTCCTCAATCTACAAAAGAAAACTGATAGGCCACATTGAAAGAATGGGTCTAGTGGGCATTTTACCTAGTTTACCTGGAGAGAGTTCCGGGGGCAACGCCCCCGCGGCCGGTCTGTGGGCCAGGCTCCGGGGGATCAAGCCTGATCAACCGGATCAGAGCCATCAGTGTGCCAGTATAAAAAAAAATCCCAGCACACAGGTGTAAGAGAAAAAAAAAATTGACCATTTTTCGGTTTTTAAAAAAGTGACTTTGCACTGTATTTTCGTTGGGATTTATTGTTGTATTTATTTCCTTGTTCATGTGGAATGGAAAACAATTACAGAAAATTGAGGGTTTTGACTGGTTTTACAAAGAAAAAATACCCTTTAAATTGAGCAAAATACGAAATTTCGTTATACCAAAGTTCATAAGTAAAAAAATCTGCTAAGCGTCCATACACGCAACTGGGGAGTCTAATATTTTTTCCAAGTGCGGATAATTTTTTATCCCTTTTCTACACTAATGCGTAGTTGTTAACGTAAAAATTATTTTTTTGGGGAATAAAAAATCAAATGGAAAGCAAAAAAAAATGTAAGAGGGGCCCGGGGACGTGAAATGGAACAGAGGGAAAAGTTATTTTTGTGCCAGGAATTTTTCTTGTTTTTTTGGACCCATTTTGGAAAATTGGGATCTTTTTAAATTTGTGTGAAATTGGCAAAAATTTCTAAAACGACCCCTGTATTGGATAGTTGAAATTCGTAAATGGTGGTTTCTTGTACTCATTCGAAGAAAAATGGAGTTTTTAGCAAAACAGTTATGATTTTTTGGGCGACTGTATACTGGAATGGCCAAAAATAGGGCTCAAAAGGGCAAAAAACCCGATGCGTAAACATCGGGGGAGACCGCTAACTTCGAAGAGCAAATCCGTAAGCTTTCCATCAAATTTTATCTTTGGTGCGTTAGAATTTGGAAAAGATTTTTCCCCTTTTCATAGAAAAATATTTTTTTTTTTTAAATTTGGCCGACCCTGAGAACAAGACCCTGAGAGGGCCTGTCGACCCTGAAAGGGTTAATACATTAAAGAAGAACTACCATACATACACTTTACCTGGTATACTCATAACAGGTTTTTTCCCTTATTATTGTACTCTCTCCTGTCCTCTTTTCCTCTATATAAAGGAACTATGCATGCTCTCTGCCAATCCCTTGGTACTTTTTTTCTGTTTTCATACATTTATTGAACACATGCATCAACCACTCCAAAACTGTCTCTGCCTGCTTTTAACATGTATGCCTTGATCCCATCAATTCTAGTTACTTTACCCCCTTTCATTCTACCCTCTGCCTCACACACCTCCCCCATACTCACATCTGGCTCTTCCTCACTCCTACAAGATGTTCTACCTCCCTGGCCAATGCATGAAATCACTGGCTCTCTCTCTTTCTTCATCAACATTTAACAGCTCCTCAAAATATTCCCTCCATCTTCTCAGTACTTCCTCCTCCCCATCTATTAACTCCCCTCTTGTTTTTAACTGTTAAATTTTTATTTTTATTTGATTTTAACACATCGGCCGATTCCCACCAAGGCAGGGTGGCCTGAAAAAGAAAAACTTTCACCATCATTCGCTCCATCACTGTCTTGCGAGAAGGGTGCTTTACACTACAGTTTTTAAACTGCAACATCAACACCCCTCCTTAGGGTGCTGGCACTGTACTTCCCATCTCCATGACTCAAGTCCGGTCTGCCGGTTTCCCTGAATCCCTTCATAAATGTTACTTTGCTCACACTCCAACAGCATGTCAAGTATTAAAAACCATTTGTCTCCATTCACTGCTATCAAATACGCTCATGCATGCTTGCTGGAAGTCCAAGCCCCTCGCACACAAAATCTCCTTTACTCCCTCCCTCCAACCTTTCCTAGGCCGACCCCTACCCTGCATTCCCTCCACTACAGATTTACACACTCTTGAAGTTATTCTGTTTTGTTACATTCTTTATATGTCCGAACCACCTCAACAACCCCTCCTCAGCCCTCTGGATAATAGTTTTGGTAATCCCGTACCTCCTCCTAATTTCCAAACTATGAATTCTCTGTGTTACATTCACACCACACATTGCCCTCAGACAAAATCACATAACTCAGTACATTCTCAAGTGTTTCTAATTCATATACTGCAAACTGACAGTTTACTGTTTGAATATTGAAATAATTTGTTAAAAGGATTAAAAACTAGATGAACATCACTAGTAGTGAACTTAAAAGTTCTAAAATATGCTCAAACTAACTGCTATAGTTCAGTATATCCAATACAGGAATCACAATAATGACTAAAGTAAAGTGAACAAAAAAAGATATTTATTATAATTTTTTTTTGTCATAGAACCTTGTTTACTCCTATAATTGATCATACAAGTAAACAAGGTCCCAGGAGTGAAACACATTCTGACAAATGTCATTTGTTTCTGCACATGTCATCTCCTTAACTTACTGGTATCATACATGTGGTTTTTACCACAGTTGATCACATATATTACAACTACAAAAGAAAAACAGCAGTCTGCTCCTATTGAAGGCATTTTCAAGTATAACACATCTGAGGGACAGTGGAGACCAGTCATCATAATGAGAACAGTAACAGCTGCAGTTCTTAACAAGGTTGTCAATATTTAAGTATCATAAACAAAACGAATAAAGGCTCCCAGAACTAAGAAATTTAAATTACTATGAATGATTGAAAATGCTTGAAATGCCCTTGATAGGTTAGAGGAAATAGAAGAGACATGATTGCTACCAAGTAAAGTCTAATATTATAAAAGAATATATGAAGAAAAAACACAGAAGACAATTTTAGCACTATCAAAAGAGAAAAGATGAGACCTCAAGTTTTAAGTGAGGAAAATGTGATGTTGAGAGGACACAAGGAAATATTTCATCATAAACAGTGGTAGACTACTGGAATGTTGTCCAAGTGGAGGTAGTATCTGCTACAACCACTGGAAACATTACAGAATGACATGACAAATTAACACTGAAGACATTACACTACCAGCATAGCTCTGCTTTTCTAACTACAGATCAGTAATTTCACCCACAATCACACATGCACACACAAGCACACACACTCACACATGAGCACACTCACATACATTCTAACTCAAGAATTTTGTCTCTACTTTATCTAACTACTGCATTACATAACAATAATGCATTCAGAATAAAAATTATCCATGCTTAGTATTAAGTAAATATGATATTCTAACAATTATGAATGTTACTAAAAAGCCATTCATTATTAAACAGAAGCAACAGACTTAATGCTCAAATTACCAAAAGCAGACAGCAAGACACCCAAATACAGCTTGTCGCAAATGCCTTTCTAAACATGACGACTTGGAGCAACACTGTCATGTGTGACAATTTTCTCTATAAAGCTGACAGCTCAAGTCAATAAACAGTCAAATTTGTAGACAGTAGCAAAGATCACACGCAACAGCATAGCCCCAAGCTTTTGCTCAGTACACAAGTGGGGTCCTACACAGGTGTGGGTGTTAGGACAATTACATATGTGGGAGAAATACCTGAGGCTACAAGGCTAGAGGTCCAGGGCAGCTCGAAAGCTAAAACCCATAACACCGAAAGGGAAGAAGATTCTGTTATTACCATTTGAAACAAGTATTATGTTTATGATATCTGGGTCACTATCTAAAATATAACTCCACTATATTCTCTAGTTGCAACTTCTAGAGAAACTAATTTAAAAATACATATAAAAAACTGTTAGCCCAGAACCACAGTAGTAATATACTTAAACAAAATAATGATAAAAATACACATTTCAACCTCATCAAGTCATCAACGTAAATTGATGTAAAAAACAACTAGCGTATATATTTACATATTATGAAATAAAAAGTACTCATTTCTATAAAAATGCATGTACTGTACTGTAACATAGTTTCATTAATGCAAAAATACTGCCAAAAGTATCCAATGAACACGAACAAACTGCAAATCAATATGAATATCAAGCAACTGCCAAAGAATAAAAATTATGTACTTTGAGTATTTATATAATCATAAGCTCTTACTCATTCAAAAAGCTGAGTTTTACTATAAGGAAATTAAGAGTATTGTGGATACAGTATAAAAGATAACTTATATTAAAAAAACTTGATGGAGGTTGGATAAATATTGATGATGTGACTGCAGTTGCAAGCATTAAACTCTCACTAAAGCTTCATCAATGCAGGTATGGAGAGATAAAGCACAAAACAATTATAACAACCATTCAGGATCATGCCACCTCTCTTACCATTAAATCTTCATAAATAACAACAGATCAGATGAAGAACTTTACTAGATAATCTTAAGAGTCAAAACGAACACTGTTATTGAAGGTTAAAATTTTCTTAGCATTGCAATACACTAAACACTAAATTTAGATGATGTAAACTTTTAATAACAAAAATATCTTTAGCAATCACATTAGAAAGGAATGACAACAAATATTTTGAGACAGTAAGGGATACCCAGAGTGCAAGGACTAAATAATCAGTAAATAATAAATATGATAAAACACTTTAGTACAGTACATTGACTGTATAAAGATGAATCACAACATGGAAGTGAGAGGAAATAACTTACCAAAGAGTGGGACGGCCATATTGAGGAAATCTGAGCACACTGATAATACTCGACCACCTTGAAGAAGATACCTATGGAAGATAATATTTAAAGTAATAAAAACAAACTAAATAAATATTTTTTCAACACATCAGCCATCTCCCACTGGGGCTGGGTGACCGACAAAAGAAACACTTTCACCATCATTCACACAAAGTCACTGTCTTTCAAGAGGCACTCAGATACGACAGTTCACATGTTACTCCAAACCCCTCCTTTAACCCTTTGACTGTCGCAACTCCAAATCATGAAGTGTCTCCTGGTGTCGAAGAATTTTCAAAACAAAAAGAAAAAAACATTTTTTCTTATGAAAATGTTAAGATTAATTTTCTGATTGTTTTAAGCCCAAAAAAAAACTTTTTTACGATCAGTACTTACCGAGATATAGAGGTGTAAACTAGGCAGAAAATGAGCTATGTATGGAAACAGCTGTGAATGCCGCTCACCCGGTAAACTTTGGTTTACTTGCATTTCTAGGTTTCTTGTTTTTTCACTATCTTATTTTTTCAAGTAACTTATGTGGCCTGTGAGTCCAAAGTAAGGTGTAATGTACATATATACACTCGTTCTATACAACACAATAACCGCACAAACATAATTATCAATATATTGTTTACAAAACTTGTTTACACAAGCAATACAAAATTTTTTTATTACTATTGGTGTATAATATATATACAAATATACAGTCACTGGACATGTTCCTAGTAGTTCTGCAGCTCGTGGAACTCTTTATTTATTTATTTATTTATTAATTTGAACATGATACAGAGAAGTACAAAAGAATACAGTTAAATGCAGCATGCCAAAGCCACTTGAATGCATAGCATTACGGGCAGGCTTAAAATTAACTTAAGATTAACTAAGCAATGAAGTATTCAGTGGTAAAACATTATTGTAAACAGATAACAATTAAGCATAAATGAGTATTACAAAAACAGGTCGTATGGTTGCATGCATTGCTGTACAATCAGTGTTTATTTATTTATTTATTTATTTATTTATTTATTTATTTATTTAATTTGAACATGATACAGAGAAGTACAAGGAATACAATTTTTAAAGTGCAGCATGCCAAAGCCCCTTGTTTGCAGAGCATAATGGGCAGGCTTAAAATTAACTTAAGATTAACTAAGCAATGATATATTCAGTGGTACAAAAATTATTGTAAAACAGATAACAATTTAGTACAAATGAGTATTACAAAGACAGGTCATATGGTCATTTACTGTGTTGCTGTATAATCAGTACAATAGAGTATTATGTTAGGTAATTTAAATAGTAACAAAGTTTGATTGGGTAACAGGATGACATTTATGAGATACAGTGGTCCCTCGTTTTTCGTAATTAATCCGTTCCTGGAGCCATTACTATAAACGAAATTTACGATTTGCGAATCAATTTTCACCATAAGAAATAATGTAAATACAATTAATCCGTTCCTGACACCCAGAAGTATTAAAACAAACAAATTTTTTACATGAAATATACATGTAGTACATAAACAATACAATGGGAAATGATTAACCCTTTGAGGGTCGACAGGCCCTCTCCGAAACTCGTTCTCAGGGTCGGCCAAATTTAAAAAAAAAAAAAAATTATTTTCTCTTATGAAAAGATAGAGAATCTTTTCCCGATCATAAAGACACCAAAAGTTTGAAATTTGATAGAAAACTTACGGAATTATGCTCTCGCAAAGTTAGCGGTCTCGGCAATGTTTACGCATCGGCGATTTTGCCCACTTTGAGCCCCATTTTCGGCCAATTTCACTGTACTAGTCACAAAAAACATGAATATTTCGCTAGAACTCCATTTTTTCTATCGAATGGGTGCAAGAAACCACTCATTTATGAAATTCAACTATCCAGTACAGTGGTCAGAATTTAGCAATTTTGCCAATTTCACACAAATTTCAAAAGATGCCAATTTCCGAATAGGGTCCAGAATAAACAAGAAAGACATTCCTGGCACTAAAATAACATTTCCTCTAGTCATTAGTCATGTCTCAAGGCCCCTCTTATATTCTTTTGCTTTCCACTTTGAATTTTATTTTCACAAAAAATATAAGATTTACTGTTATGCAGACTACTGCATTAGTGTAAAAAATGGTATAAATATTATTGGTGCACTTGTGAAAGAATATTAGACTGACCAGTTGACGTGTATTGCACGCTTGGCACGATTTGTTTACTTTTGAAGTTTGGTAAAAATCGAACATTTCTGCTACTTTGAGCTCAATTTCAAGGCACCTTTCTTTGTAAAACCAGTCAAAATCATCTCAATTTCTGTAATATGTCTTCCATTCTATAAAATGATACCAAGAAAACTAGAATATAACAATAAATACCATACGAAAATACACTGCAAAGTCGCTGATTTATTCAAAAAAAAATGGTCAAAGTTTTTTTTTTTCTCATTATGCACTGTGTGCTGCAGGATTTTTTTTAGACTGTGCACACTGACCACATAGACCCATTCTTTCATATGAAGGCCTACCAGCTTTCTCCCACTAGATTTGAGGGCGCTAGAATTTATGAGTACTAGTACGTCAAAAACCCCTACGCGTAAGACGTACTAGTACGACGAAAACCCTCAAAGGGTTAATGAAACATTAACAGCGTAACACTTACCTTTATTGGAGATGCTTCATAGTGTATAGGAGACTGGAGGAGGCGAGAGATTGGATTGTTTACAGTTTGGAAGGGGAATCCCCTTCAAGCAACACCTCAGGTACCAATTGCTTCTCTGGGGTTGCTTCTCTTCTCTGTTTCTTAATGCCACTAGGACCACCTTGAGAGTCACTCTAGTCCTGTCTCGCAAAGTAACTGTGGAGAGAGCTCTGTTTCTGGCGTCTCTTTAACACTTCCCTAAAATGGCCCAAGACTTTGTCACTGTACTTATTTCTCACCTTCTTTACCACAGGATTTACACTAGGAGCTTTCTTTGGAGCCATGGCAGCTTATTTAATACTTGCAAGCACTAAAATGAGTGGAATATTATTAAATATTTCGTAGGAGCACTTGAGGGGACCTTCACTCACTGGTAAACAATGCCAGACTGGCTGGGTAGGGAGGCCGCCCCGGCTCACACCGTGCATATGCGTCCTGGACGAACTACTATTCGCGAGTCAACATATGAAAAGCGAGTCCATGTTTATACGAAAATACCCCTATGATTGGCGAAATTTACGATTGCCGAGAACTACGAAAAGCGAGGGACCACTGTACAATAATGAGATACATATATGAGATACAATTATTCAGTATTTATTTAGTTGTGGGTGAGTAAGTGATTTTTGAGAAGAGACTTGAATTTATAAACAGTGTTTCTTTTATATTCACAGGTAATGAATTCCAGATTTTAGGGCCTTTTATGTGCATTGAGTTTTTGCATAGCGTGCGATGGACACGAGGAACATCAAAGAGAGATCTGTCTTGTGTTGTGGTCATGTGTTCTGTTGAGGTTGGTAAGGAGATGTTTGAGGGGAGGGTTTATGTGAGAGTTAAGTGTTCTATGTATGTAGTAGGTGCAGTAATAAGTATGGATGTTTTGTATTGTGAGTAGGTTTAGAGATTTGAATATTGGTGGAGTGTGCTGTCTGTAGTGGGAATTTGTTATTCTGACTGCAGCCTTTTGTTGGGTGATTAGTGGTCTGAGATGGTTTATTGTTGTTGAGCCCCATGCACAAATTCCATAGGTGAGATAGGGGTAAATAAGTGAGTGATATAGGGCCAGGAGGGCTGACTGTGGAACATAGTGCCGTATCTTCGATAGTATGCCTACAGTCTTGGAAATTTTTGTTGGAAATTTGTTGTATATGTGTTTGAAATTTGAGTCTATTATCAAGGTGGATTCCTAGGAATTGAAGCATGGTTTCATACACAATGGTGTTTTACACTCCTCACACATAAAATGACTGTCTCTGCATTTTTGTGGGCTTTTTTTTTTTTGTACAAAGACAAAACACCTTGTCTGAGCAGTTTTCTTCAAAGTATTAGCAGGCAGTTGTGTTAGGAAGTTATCCTAGGTAAATGGTCGTGTATCATGATTCCTTCCTTCCTACCTCCCTGCATTCCTTTCTTACCTTCCTTCCCTCCGACATTCCTTTCCTCCTCCTCCTTTCCTTCCTTACTTATTTTTTCCTTCCTTCCTTCCCTCCTCCTCCTTTCCTTCCTTACTTACTTTTTTCCTTCCTTCCTTTCATCTTGTCTGTCCTTTCTTCCTTCCCTCTGGTTTCTATAATATATATACACATATATAGTCACTGGATACTTTCATAAACAGTAGGGCCCCACTTATACGGCGGGTTAGGTTCCTGGCTGTCGCCGGAAAGCAGACATCGCCGGAAGGCAGAATGCCATTTTTTCCCATTTATAAAAGCATATAAATGCCAGACAACAAGTTTACACTAAATTATATTAAGTTAGTAATAGAACTAGGCATTAAAAACACACAAAGTAAAATACATTCACAGTACATTCATTACTTATCTTAAAGTATTTGTAATCTTAATGTAGGGAGATAGGAGAGTAGTACTTATCTGTAGGAAGTCAGGTGCAGGTAGCCCAGGTGCAGGTAGCCCAGGTGCAGGTAGCCCAGGTGCAGGTAGCCCAGGTGTAGGTAGCCCTGGCTCCCCATCTCACACAGGGTTACTTCCCTTCTTTTTTTAATGCCATAGGACCAGCTTGAGAGTCACTGGACTTCTGTCGCACAACATATCTGTCCATAGAGGCCTGTACCTCTTGTTCCTTTATGACTTCCCTAAAGATGTTTCACAACATTGTCAGTGTAATAGTCACCAGCATGGCTTGCAATAGCTGTGTGAGGGTGATTTTCATCCATAAAGGTTTGCACTTCAAGCCACTTTGCACATATTTCCTTAATCTTTGAAGTAGGCAACTTCTTCAATTTCTCTCTCCCCTCCTCCGAAGCAGTTTCCTCAGGTGTGGCCTCTTGCTGTTGAAGATGATCTAGCAGCTCATCAGTGGTTAGTTCTTCATTGTCCTCCTCCACCAACTCTTCTACATCCTCCCCACTAACCTCCAACCCCAAGGACTTCCCCAATGCCACAATTGATTCCTCAGCTGGCATATGCTTCTCAGGGTTAGCCTCAAATCCTTCAAAATTCCTTTTGTCTACACATT